ACTTAGCTGACAGAACCTCGAGAGTATCCTCCAACACGTCCTCACACTACGAACGCTCGGCCAAGCTTTTCCCAATTTGTATATTATTTATATGTTGAAGAGACAATATTTAACTTCTAGAAAACTAACAGAAAAACCAATATGATAATGCAATTTGATAATAGAAAAGGACCCTTCAATGTATGGTAAATATCTCTGAACAAGATACTGAATCATTATAAGCAGAATACATAATTGATTTCAAGAAAAAAAATCATGTGAAAAAAAAAACAAGGATATATTTAGGGACTTACTCTGAACATAGGCCTGATATCCCTCGGATGGCATGAATGCGTTTTTGCCATTTTGAATCAGCTGACAAGATCCATCCGAATCGCGATAGCTGAATGCGTTGCAAGGATTCGGCCGTTGGCTCACGCATTGTATCTTGCAATTCCCATTCCTCCAAACCGGGAATTCTGGAATCGTGTTCAATTACCTTTTACCGTGGTGAACAGAGAAATATGTCCTCAAAGGCAGAAGGGAGAAGGGGATCATGTAGATCCCCCCAAAAGGGGCCATGTCGAGCGACTGTGACTCTTCCCAAATTAATTATTAACCATTCGACATACAATACCACGTGACCGCGTGAAACGAATCCGGACGCGATGTGTGGATATATCGAATTGATGTGGATTTTTCCGAAGAGAAACCATGGAGAAATAAGACTAGCTTCGTGTCGGACCAAGTTGAAACGCAGAAAGCTTTTCGTTCTAATTGTCCTGCGGTCGCAAACAGAGAAAGTAAACAATAAGGTATGCTTTCGGTGGTATTGCCATACGTCTACCAGTACTGCCAAAGTGTATTGCACAATAATTATTAATGTTTCCTGTTTTTTTTTGTTTAAAGCAAATGAAACTCCGAAAGTCATTTTTTCGTATTCGCTTCAGGCCAGGAATGAATCAACTGGAAACTCGACTTTCGCTCAAGGCGAGTTTCCATCCCGGCTCTGCAAGCTCTATTGCTCGAAAGGATCCGATTTCCTCATTTAATCTGTTGAAAAATCTCTTTGACAGGTTCTGAGAAGTCGCTAGGAGTTTTGACTTGGAATCTCGATGATGAAGACGATTCACGAGGCAGTCTCGGCAAAAAGAATATTGACAGCAGAAACTGAAGAATCTGAATAATCTGATGCCTCCCATCCTAGGAAAAAAACGGCATGCAACATTTGATGTTCTCCTGCTCAACATACCGAAATTGTTTATCTCTCTTGCTATGAATATTGACATATTATCACTAAATTGTACGTCATCAACCTCGGCATGCCGGGATTGACGTAGTTGTCGCAGGAAGTCGCTGCTGTCCAACTCCTGGTTGTCCAGATATGCCGGCCGAGCTAGCTTAGGGGGTGTGCATGATTCAAAATGGCAGTCATTGCGTTTTCTTTTATGGGTTTCACAAAGAATTTGAGCAAGCGCTTACAATCCTAGAATATCTTAATACTTTTTTGTTGACTTCATCACTTAAATTTCACAGGCTTTCGGCTTCAACCAGGGAAGTTGTGTAAAGGGTGTTTCTTCTGAGAGAAAGAATGGGTTCTCGTCGGCCAGTGGGGCCATAGAGAACGAGGGATTCCATGTTCGACTTAAGAGTGGGAGAAGTCAGCTGAGGCAAGTCGAACTGCTGCTCGTGCAAAGCGAAACAGGAAGCGTGGGATAAAGTTGGCGATCGGATGGAATCGGACTACTGCACTGCCACTAAAGTGTTCTGGCAAACCATACGATGGCTACGGCAAGGCGGGCACTCTTCGAGCGATGGAAGACCGAAACGGAGAGACAGGAGCTCTAGTGCATGCTCGATCTGTTCGACTCCGAATGCACTGCGGCAGCAATGATACCGAGCGTCTCCAAGACACGGGTCATGGTCCTCTCGAGAAATCCTGTAGAGTGCACCTGGAATGCCAGTGGAGTCCCACTGGAACATTTGGTAAAGTGCAAGTATCTCGGGGTCTTGTACTCACGTGACGGACGATATGGAAACGAGATCGACAACCGCAATTCCAAGGCTTCTGCAGTGTTGTGGCAACTTTGGTGAACCGTGGTAGCCAGATCGGAAGTTTCTCTCCATTCTCACCTCCCTTACAAGATGTTCGCCTGTAATCCACCTGCATGAAACATGGGTGCACGGCAAGTGGATTACTGACAGTACGTGGGAGGGGGACATTCGCGTCCCCCAAGAGACAAGAGGTGGACGCTCGGGCCCCCCCCCCCATGGGAAGGGAGGTGGAAGATCCCGTCCCCCTCAGAGGATAGGTATCTCCTTGAAGAAAATAAAAATACAATTTTTTGCCATTTGTGAAGAGATTCATATTTACAGACTAGCAATTATATGGGAATAAATCTACTACACCACAATCGCGATCGCTTTTGCCATGGAGATCCTCTACCAGTTTGCCTTCATTTGTTCGAATTTCATGAAATTGTAAAATGTCATCCACAAAACACTGCAAAATAAGAATGTTTGTAATGCATCTAGCCTTGAATGTGAATTAATAGGCGCTGTAGCGCTCATTAATTGACATTCACATCCACTCTAAATGAGACAAGAACTGCTGGGAGCAGTTTCGTTTGGCGTGGTCGGATGTGCTCATGGTATTAAAGTACACTTTAAAAAAGATGATATTTGTCCCCTTGGGAATGCTCGTACGGGTCGATACGGAATCGATAGTCGTTAATAATTGATTTCTACGAGGACTGGGCTTTCTCATATGTTGTATATTCAGATCTACACTCTGCATAGAGCACACAAATGATTCTACAGTATTTAGTCAAAAGTAAGAGTAAAGCAAATTCTTTCAGGACAACTTAGGCCATGCGAAAAATTAAGTTGGCGAGAACTGGAAAAAGCTCAGAAAAAGGACAAACAAAAATTCTCTCACCCTCGATGCAGCACAGTTCCAGCGAGGCCTTCTTATTGAGGACAATCACGGCTAAAATCAATGAAATCAGAGAGGTTTTCTTGGGCTCCAACCGTCCCCACACCCACACCCACACCCACACCCCACTATCATTCTCGCTATTTCCAAGTGTTACTCCCAGCTTCAACTAGCAAGGAACATAATCTGGCTCCAACCACCACGAAGACTCCACGGCTCCAACCGAATAGAGATACCAAGGGTTTAATCTAAAAACGGGGTTCATAGCCAGGTGTACCTTAGCAGCTGCCATGCCTTCCTCCCTCTTTTTCTCGGAAACTCCCCGTGGAGTTTATGTCAAGTCACTCCACCTGGCCATCTCAGACGTTGACAAGGCTAGGGAAGCGGGAGGGGCATTGCTGATTGTGGTGAAACACGAAACGAAAGAATGTGTGATCCGACCTTCTTGAAGACGATATCCTTAAAAAAGAATTTTAAACTTAAATTTTTTTTTTAGACGTTCATGGAGACCATTCCATATGCCCTTATTTGTCACTGACATCTTGATGTCAGTGACATGTAAGGACAATCCGATGCTAAATGATGGTGTAAGTCCTGGGGGGGGGGGGCTACAGAAATAATGAAGGATATAATGAAGGCATTACATATATACGCTATTTGCTGTATCTTGTCCTCTTGGTAATTAATAACGCAACCGCAGTTAAACTTTAGTAGGCGGAATCCTTGTTTGTGTGACAAAACGCTTTATAAAATGTAAACGCTGTGCCAACACGTGTGTTTAATACAACTTTATTCATCCATTTTCGTTACTTGTCCGCATACGTTTACTGATTCTGGGTCTGCCTGAACCAAATTCCCAAAGCTCACAAATGGCTCCCCCGACCCCCGGGGCTCGTGCAGTACATATCGAAGCGCGGTTTTCACTTTCTGTTTCGAAGACGGACGGTCAGCAGGTCAACAGCTTAAGCTGTGACACTAACTGTATTCCGTATGTTCTAATTCTCCGAAAATGTTGAAATGAATCTGAAATTGTATCGATTGCAAAACGCCTGAAACTCTCCTTACTTATGTTTCCCTCTGCTTCTGCGCAATCAATATCTTGCATTGACTGCAGATCCTGGCAAATTGGGTTTATCCACGTAGCTGGACGAAGCTGGTTCCGATCGATCTGAGGACGTAGACGATGCGGATTGGACGAATGCATATCTATGACTGCGGTTCGGGAATCGAGGTAGGACGGCCTTCGCGATGACCTTTAGATGCTTCCGCAGAAGTGAAGTGCCGCGTCAGTGTTGTGGCACGATGTTCTGAGGCTCTTCTAGTTAGCTTTCAATTTTTTCTGGAACAATGTTTTAGGTCGCATAGGCGCTAAGAGTAAGAGATTGGTGTTGAGAGTCAATCATCCATCTGTGGATCCAATAACGATCTTTGTTGGATCTTGTGATAATTGTCTCCCTGAGTTTTTCTTTGCCCTCTCCCTACTTTCCCCTTCTTGTTCCCCCATCCTCTTCCCTTAGAGGGATACTTTTCTTAAGAAGTCGATATGATCCCTGCAGGTTTTGTTCTTACCTCATGTACGTTAGCTTTTAGGGCTCAGAAATCCTTTTTTTGCACGTGCGTGTCTGCTATTCAGTCCTTTCGTTTAAGGCAACGTCCCACAATGTCTCATAATGTTTTGGGCTAGTAACAAACTCTTGTCAAGAGTACTCAACTAAAAGGTCAGTAATGACATTATTGGACGTGGCTCTCCTCTTAGTAGACTGCCGACGATCCTTGTGAAATTATTGCAATACCGATAACCATGCAATTCAAATGGCCGTTTTGCTAAATCCATTTCATCCAAAGTAGCGACCGCGGAACTCATTCCATCGATACGGCGCCACTATTCCTATCTGTCTCAACATTTTTTACATTAATAATTTGTCGCACACCACTCATTAATGCTGGTAAAACTGTGAAGCCGTACGTTCCATTAACGAAGCAACGAGTGTCGCCTACAGAAGCCATCAGACCTGAAAAAGAACCTTCACCTCGATCGGTGGCATTTGGTTCCGTATGGGAATTTTCACAGTCCCTCTCGACTACGATGGGTATTCGGCGAGCTGAGTTGTCTGGGAAAAATATTTGGTGGTGATTCAATTTTTTTTTTATGAAACGCTTCGCTCCTGCCACTTGCTTAGACATATGCATGCGAGGGAGTGGACTCGAGTACTAACCCCTTCTCTACTCAATGAAATATAACTTTCATTAAAATTGGGCATTGGAAGTTAATGTTCTCCCTCGAGAGTAATATTGTTCGTACAATTGCACTCTAAGCGTTCAGGCCGCAACTTCTATCAATAAAAAAAAGCCTTAAGGACCAGCGGTTTCAGTATATACGTAGGTTTTAGAGTATTATCTCTGCCTGTTGTACAGGTAGAGAAACGCTGGAATAGAAGAAAGTAGGATTAGTAACTAAATGAGTATCCTGGAAATCATTCGACGGATCTACCTCTTGATCACTATTTCATCATTCGAAGGGGGTACAACGATGTCTCCACTCAGCAAGGCTCCGTGCAGTTTTTGTACAAATACGAAAGGACTTTGTTAACGAAAGGGGTGAAACAAGACAGCCATATTTTTCATTTTCCCCTATTAGCTGAGGAATAGTAGATTCTGCTTGGATCATTTACTTAGATCCGATGCATGAACTTTGTTCAAACCTGAGTGAGGTAAAATGAAGGCTTACCGAACGAAGTTTCAACATATGACACCTGCGAAAGAATCATTGCCAGATGACTGCGCGGTAAATTGCACTCAGTCTGATGTGAGCTAGTCTCTCTAGCATCGATATCGTTGAATATGCAGGGTGTCCCATGAGTCCCTTTACCCCTGAACCTTTTCCTAGAACAGGCTGGTTCATTTCTCATATAACCATATGGAATAATAGTTTTTTTTTCAGATTCAGATTAGAACTTTTGACCTCTTCGATTTAAAGTAATAGATTAAAGTATAAGATGCCGTTTCCTTATAAATTCCGTTTGAAGTCATGAATGTTGAATCAGGATGTCGGGACATTATTTGCTGTTGGCCGTGTTCTCCTGCCTGCTTCGGAATGGATCAGTCGATGTTCCCACATACTGGGCTGTATTTGAAGGGCAACGATATGGAAATGTCTCAGAAGAAATGAACGGGGTGGACTTTTCGCACTGCAGTATCTCATGCATGAAGCCCAATGAATCTCATCCCTGTCATGCATTCAACTTCAGGGAAGCTGATGGATCATGCCAGCTGATCCGCAAAAGCAAGAGCCATATCGTCAAATCTGAAGGGTACCAGGCATATGTTCTATGTGAGTTACTTGAAGTAAAAAGGCGATGGTGAGGAATTGGCTGATTACAAGAACTTGCGAGTTCTCAATTTAAATATGTTTGTCAAGGGCAAATGAACTCGCAGTAGTCGTACATTCAGGACTCGACAATCTAAGGTAGTAATTATTTGAAACATTTATTTTCGGACAACCCACCTCTTAATATGACTCCCTGTACATTTCCTAGGGTAATATGTATTTTTGTGGCGTCAGGTTACTCCTGGTTTTTAAACTTTATCGGCAAAGAGGCATTAAATAAATTAAGGTTCTTCGTCTCCCAATGCATCCCCTGATTCATTCATCTAAAGCTTCTATTGACGCAAAAATAAGACATCGTTTTTCTTAAGAAACAATTTTAATTTTTACCTTTTTCCACACACCCCAAAAACGTTGAGGATGTCGACGAGATTGTCAACCTTAATAGTTGGATTTCCTCTGAAATCAGCATGTTAAAACTCCCTTTACCAGAAGTTCACATTTTTCAAGCTGTCAAAACCACGATAGTAGCTTCCAGCACGCTACGAACGCTCGAAGACATAACTCAGCCCGAAACGTTAACCTTATCTGCGCTGTAAACATCGTGTCGAAAATGGAGATCTCCGATTTCGTTTTTTTTTATCCCTGCCATTACCCTTTCTGCAGTCCTATGCCTTACGGGCTACCCAAAGATACAGAATGCTGAGGAAGCTTTCCAAGGTTGGAGTGGTGCATATCCTGCCCCACGAGGAGGTCAGGTGACATTCACATGCAAACACCCGCGAGGATTCACTGATGATCACAACGTACATATGGCCACCTGCGCCTCCATGCGACCTGATGTATGGTGCACCACATTCACCGACAAGCAGACGACGATTCTCTGTCCACCTCCACGTGGGTATTTCAGAGATTTACTTTCTGAGAAACATTCCGTCATCGTGTATAATATATTTTCCTGAATGTTCAACTTCTGAAGGCTTCACTATTATAAGCATTGTGTATGATTGTGACAGGAAGTCAGACCTACGTTTCCATAGAAATAGCTAAATTAGTTCGGCGCAGCTCGGAAGTTGTCGAACCATAGTTGATACGGCACATTTTTCGTGCCACAAAGTAATGATTAATGGGAGTCTCAATGGTGAAAAGCGATACACTGAACAGTATATTCATGCAATTTTGTAGAGGAGGAATTGAAAATTCTCGGAAATTTTGATGAAGTTCAAGATGTAAGATTTATTTTAATGAACAATCCTGTACAAATAAAGCTTTACATTCCAAGTTTGTAACCTTTTTAATGCAATTTTCCCTCTGTTACTCCGTTTGTTTCTCCTATTCACGAGTAGCAAATTGCAAGAGTTTGTTACCCCATATTCAAGTAACATGTTAAGGGTGTGGCGGTAGATAGTCCAAAGGGTAACAAGCTCCAATGGTAACGATTCAGCAGAAGTGTGTTTCTGCAAATGGTGACAAATTGAATATGTGAGGTTCACAAAGGGGAGTTTGTCAACTTATGCCCCCTATGTATGCCTATGTCCATGCATATCCCTTATCTGAAACTGCCACAAATTTCGCTAAGTACTTTGCTCTTTTGGAGAGTAATGAACTTTGGCCATTTGACTGGTCGAATCAAAACTAGAGCTCTACTGATTATGACATGATGGAGCGGAGAAAATGTCGAACGAACCAGAAAGTCGAAAAACGTCGAATGTGCTTCTCTAGGACTAGGTCTTTTTTTTCTAAATAGAGATAGCCCTTGTCTCTTGTTTAGTTCATGCCTTCGTAGACTGTACGCTCAGCCTTCTCAAACTGGAATGATCGTCTATCTTCAGAGATAGGCGATAATTCCAGTTATTGTTAGTGACCTTGAAAGGGGTTCGAACTATACTCGCTCATGATCTAGCAGTCTGTCTCGTTACTTTCCTTGTCATCACTCCCTCGGCTTGTTATTTTCTGGATGGACTGGGTTCGTCATGGCATTCACGTTTCACAAGACTCAAAAAGGTGGTGCTTTGCTCGTAAATAGTTGTTATATGGACAACAAAGACATGTCACGGGATGGAAAGGTTTACGGGAGATGCCAAGATCGAAACAGCCAAATTTGGCCTCGTGACAGAGGGAGAAACCATTTTGAAGGGGACGCCGGATGTGCATTCCAGGCACGAGCCTCGCACCAATGACCACGTCGAGGAATGGCACAACAAGTTGGGGAACAGTTTAATTGGCCGAAACCATCCACCCCTACTCCATTTCCTGGACGTCATCGCTGAGGAGCAGTCAACGGTTCAGCAGCGACAGATTGAGCTGGACAGGCGAGAAACATTACAAAAACGAAAGAAATGCGACATTACCAGAGAGACAAAACTGAAGAAGATAACAGAAGTGTTTGATTTGAGGCCTGTGCTTGATTTATTGAGAGGTTTAGCGTATAAAGTCAAGTTTTGAAGCGATTTGACAATTGGACATTTGACTGAAACTTTGTCTTTAATTTATTGATGTGCTTATCGACTTAGTAAAAGTAGCGTTCTCCATTTTTTTCCATTCCATGACTTGGCCTTTCTCCATTTTTGTCTTCAACCATAAGGACGTTCGACGTTTTTGGTCATTCGACTGAAGAGAATTCAACATTATGCATTCGACCAGCTGTTTTTAACATTTTGTGGGTTGCTGTTGCACTTTTCCCTAATTTGAAACAAAATATTGATGCCAATTCGCTGCTCTTATTTTAGTGAGTAAAATTTTACCCCCCTTTGTGTATTTTGTGGATAAGTTGCGCGTGATTAAGTCTGACTGACGTCTATATGCCTACTAAGTAGTCAAAGATACAAATCTACTTAGTAGCTTGTAGTTGCGACAAGTCGCAACTCGCCACGACGACGCATTTTTAAGAAAAAGGGTCAGTCTCCGACCTTTTTGATCACACCACGTAGGGCTCAAGGTCAAACATTACAAAGAGTTGGAGAGCATCTGCGTGATTCAGTTCTCACACATGGCCAACTACCTCTATATGTCTCTGCTTCCCGCATTTGCCATAAACAAAATTGTCGGTTCGCAAGAGCAGCAGACTCATTTAACATAAAAAATGTAGTGTATGAAGAAGTTCATTTGAATTTTTTGTTGCCATAATTTTTAGAAATTTTTTTTAATAAAACGTTCACTGCGACATTGCCCGTCAGATCATTAATAATTCGTCTTAAGGCTAGGACAACCCCGCAAATCAAAAGGTATCATGGCATTATAATGTTAACTTAACAATTGAATCGCCGGACGCCTTCTTGTTATCCAGCCGATTATTTGACAACATGGTGGCATGTACTGCTACTTCTTACATGTTGTTGCCACATTGTTGGTTGACCATGAATTGTCTCATTTTAAATTTCCTGAGCAATATGAACAAATGAAAAAAGTAAGTCTCTTATGAACAACGGTGACTGCCCTGATTCTGTCTTCAAGCTTGATCTGCAATTCTTCCTGCAATAGCAGTTGCTGGTACTGTGTAGGTTGGAAATGATTTATGCCAGGTAGGATCCCTGCCAATATACTAATTTGTAATGTATTCCCCTTCCATGACAGTGTCATGCGTGACCGAGCACCCAAAGATGGAGAACATGACTGTGGATGTGACCTACAAGGACTGGGATGGAAAATACCCTGCACCTCCAGGTGCAACCGTCACATTCAGCTGCCCTGCAATGTTCAATGACGGGTCATTCGAACACAATGCTACTTGCTCCTTCCTGCATGATCATGCCTGGGACACTTCCTATCACAAGGATGTGCGATGCCCACGTGAGCCTCTCCGTTTATACGTTTGAAAAATGTCATTTTTTTTTAATACGTGGGTCGCCTTAGAATCAAATGAAAGAAGTGAAAAATATGCGAACTACAGGGGTGCTTCACAGGAGTTCGCTTACCGTTCCAAGGTCTACGTATATTCGCACAAGGCTTTAATAGCGTTCAGTCATTCCATGTTAAGTGATACGAAGGCGGTTGCTGCACCGACTGGGATTTTTCCGTTAAAAATGATGTGCACTGGGGGCTATGATAAATGGATAAATCTGAAATTTTAGCAGTATATAATAAAAGGGTCTTTCAGGTATGTCTCTTGAAAGTTTGAGAAGAAATGGTGAACTGACACAAAATAAATTCAAAATCTCACGAATTACTTATGCTAGAAAACAAGATAATAGCTCATTTTAAAGCGAGTAGCCAGGAATATATAATTCTTTATATTGGGTGTTTTGTGCCTTGATTAAAAAAAGGGTTCCAATTTTATGAACGTCATTAAAACCTCACATTTTCAACTACCAAAAAGTTCACTGTAAAAATGCATGTAACTGGACCAGCCTTGGAGTATCTTCCATGCTTCATGAGATTATTGGAAAAATACATGCACGTTGTTCTTAGGTCGCTTAAAAAAATTTTGCCATGCGCACTTAAAATTGGAAGGTTTGCTAAATTTGTTTTTTTTTCTGACATTAAATAACTTCGCTAACTCCATCTGAATAATGTTCGGACAAGAAAACACATACATGATAATGTGGGTATGGCACGGCTTAGAAAACACATACTTGCAATTAAAGCAGTTTTTTATTTTACATTTAACATTGTATTGAACTTTACATGATTTCGAATATTACAATTTAAAAACCATGAATAATCCCGTTAATATTAATCTAACTGCAATGTATTACTAAACCTCGACCTCATGCATCTCGCCGAACACGTTTAATTATCGTTGTATGGAAAGAATCCAGTGTTTGATGCCAATTTTCATATTAGCGGCAGTTTATCCTAACTGCCGCCTGTCGGGGAAAGGGAAGGAGTACATCGGGACCAGGAACGTGACGGATACAGGGAAATCCTGCCTCAGGTGGGATTCCGAGCAAGTGATATCTTCTTATATGGATGTGGAGGCAGGATTCAATTATGTCTTGTCCTTCGATCTCGTGAAGGATTTGGTCCTGGGCAGGACCGTGTTCTTGAAGACGGCCTTGGGCTGTCCCTACCGATCCGGGACCACGAAACAACTGCTACTACCACACTTCTACCTCAAAACGGCATAAGGGGAAAGCGATGATTTGAGTGAGAAATTTCTTCAATTTCGTCTTGTCTGGTCTGGTAGTTTGGTACCTGGCTGATTTTTCTTAAGTATGAACATGGATAACGCCGCTTGGAATCTTGACATGGCTTTAGGAGGAGGCATTGTGGTTTTTGCTTGTTTAAAATGAGTTAACTCCTACGAAATGGTAAGCTGCTCACATCGCATATTCAGATTGAACTGAAGCGTTCGTTCTCATTCCCCACGTGAGGATAACACTATTTAAAGGAGGTTGGTCAAAATTGACCTTGACATATAACTATTTTAATAACTAATTTTGGGGGAGAAGATGAGAGATTGAACTGCATAAATAATCAACTTGTCTTTTATTATCTTTAATTTAGGACGTACAGATTCCCACACGTACGAATAAGTGACCTGTCGATAGTAGCCCCACTCCTACTACTTTATATCCATTAACCTTTGAATATTGTTATCTTTTATACCCAGCACATTCCTGCTTTCATGGCTGCCCAATTAACTCGAATGCCTCAACTTTCTTTCAAGAAAGCATTCAAGAAAGTAATTTCTCCTTTTCACTCCTTAATCTGTAGAGCCAGCCTCAACTATCCTAGTGGCTAATGTTTGCCAGATCTGTTCGCACAATCTAATAGAATGTTGTAATATATAAGATATGTAACATATAATATGTTGTAAATGGGGATATAGCAATTGGGTAATATTTTACTACTGCTTCCTGCAAACAAGATGCATTTATCGCAATTAGTTTTCGAGATATGAAGTTATGATGGCGCTTTCAATAATTTAAATCCGTTCATAAATATGATGTGAATGAACAATTAAAGGTTCAGCCCGAACAAGCAGTATTGAATCCACAGGAGTTGTACATTTTCTGGAACTAATTTTGGGGGGCTACGTTTCCACGTCCAGGCCTGCCGGAATGCAAGATGAGCCAGAAGGGAGGGGAATACGTGGGTGCGAAGAACAGGACCATTTCAGGCTTCGCTTGCATACCCTGGCTAGATCCGGAAGGAAGAGAAGGGGACATTTATGTTGAGGTCCGTCAAGGGTCGTTCCCAGATGAAATTACAAATAGCCACAAGTTCTGTCGCAACGCGAACGGATATCCAGGTGGTCCTTGGTGCAACATCAAAGATTCCCGGAAGCCGAACCTGAAGTGGGAGTACTGCGATGTCCCATTCTGCGATTTTGACGATTCTGGAGTCCAATACGAGTCAGGTGAGTTGTTATAATCTTTACGGACTAGTGGCCTGTGCCCGCCAGTGCGGCCTTTCATCCAAGTATCTATACGATTTTTCTCACGGCTCATCAAGAACAGTCTTAGCAAGATTTCAGCTACCAAAATGTTGATCTATAGTTTACGATGAAACAGATTTGTATTAAAGAGTTCCTGAGGTACAGTGTGTCATGCCTGCCAGTACGCACACAAATAACCAACATTTAATTCGACTGATGCAAAAGAAACACAACTAAAAAGTGTAAAGACAATAACGTACACGATATCGTCAGGATTCAGCGGCTGCGGTATGCTGTGCTCCACGCAAGAATAATAATTGCGAAGGTACAGCTCGATTTCGATTAAAGCAAGAGTCGTAGCAGTGACCAGATGCTCTACTTAGCGAGCAAAGCCCTCTGACATGCGCCGATTGAAAGCATTCCATAACTGCAGAGAACCGACGGGATGGCAGTGAATGAGTATTAGCACAGAGAGAGCGCAATGTGGCGACATCGGGTGTGACGCACCCTCTTGCATGTAATGATTCCATTCCCCATCGTCTACGATGAAGCCCAGCTCACGCGCTGCATCACGTAAAGTAGTAAACATGCACCGTTTCCCAGTCAAAATTTTATTGGGCCAACCAAGGCTCAAGGGTGGATCTTCCACACACCATATACGGACCAGCAGGTTATCGTCGGCTTATGGAGGGGGTTATGGTTGGCTATGGTTGGTCATGTCTGGGTCGGCCGACCTTCGGGCCAACCTTCTCTGGCCATTCCTTAGCCACATAAGGACAGCAAATGTGCCACCCATAAGCCTAAACTTTACGAACGCATCCAACCCGAACCCAAATCAATGTGACAGTAAAATGTCCCACATTTTTATTAGCCCCATCCACATTCTCCATTCTGGCTTCCTCCAATAACCTTTTCCAAGATACCTCAGCATCCATTTTTGAATAAGCCTTAATGGTTTGATTAATAAAAAAAATGATATTCCCCTCTCCTCGCTAATCGAGGAGAGTCATATATTCCTGATGGTTCTCAGGACCAAGGACATGCCTGTTATAAACAATGAGATCCCCTAGTTCTTGGTGGAGGTGAAGGAATGGTCAACTGTCCCGATTTTTGAAGCTCGCTTCCCGAGTGTCCTCTCGGCGACCGGCTCGCCAATGATCATGATGCAAGCGTTTGTCATGACCAGGGGCAATTCCCGACGCCGGACTAGAATGCGGAAATCCCTTTACCTTCTGATGGCTTATGGTTATAAAAATGCCTCTACATAATATGACTCTGCGATATCAGCTTAGATTGCAATTCCTTGCCTAGATTCCTTGCAGTATCTAAAAACACCCGGGCTCCCTAGAGACATCTAGCGGCTGAACGTTGTCCGTACTAAAGTTCTCGGTAAGCCCCTCAGTATAAAACTGAGACGTTAATAACAGGGATAAGCACTTATTCATCTGTAGCACAGCTAAGTTTTAAAATCTCTGACCTGTGAGTAATAATCTGTTCCGATTATATCGGATACCCTTGGTATTTACGCCCAATTCCCCGATTGGTTACTTCAGTACATCATTAAGTGTGCGAATACTCCTATGCCTCAATCGCCACAAACTCCACCGGCATGGATCACTCACATTTTACAGTATCTTGCATTAATGCTTCACAAATATCAATCAGACTATACCTTGGTACTGTTAAGGTATTTTCACTCTCAGGAGCATGCTGTTTTTCTGCTACTCATGCATATGCACAAATGGGTTCCAAATTGATCGTCATTCCATTGTAGCAAGAGGAGTAATGCAGCCCAATTACAAAGAATGCCGGCTTACGGAGATGGGGAAGGAGTACAGCGGTGAAGAGTACAAGACAGAAACAGGAAAGGGATGTATTAAGTGGAGGTCTGTGACCGAACGAGCCTTTCCGTTAACAAGTTTCATTTTCTCCCACCTACCATTCCAAGATCGCCAGAACCATGGACTGCCTCAGAAGATCAGTGATTTCTTGCACCAATGGATTGTATCAGAAAGCGATAACAGAAACGGAAACGACTTCGGCGTATGCCGTAATTTCGGCTCGAAGGAGCGGCCCTGGTGCTTCGTCTCCCTTAAGAATTCCATCTGGGAGTACTGCGACATCCCGTTCTGCCCTGGTCCCAATGGTTTGCAAATCTTTCATCAAGAGGCTTCCTAACCTTTTGACATGCAGTTTATTTGCGCTATACCTATACCTGAAGGTCCGAGATTTTCTAACCCTCATATTTACTCTTTGTGCGATAAGAAATTATGTAATTGAGATAATGACTTGCAATTTTGCTAAGTTCTCGCTTTTGATGCACATTTACTGGGAAAAAATCAGTTTTACGTTTTGTGACGTTAACATCCTTGAAGAACTTGCCACATGTCAAGAAAGGTTGACAATTTTTCTTTGCTCCTTTTTGGCCCCATTTTACAGAACATTTACCTGCACATCATGCCCTTTCGTTCTGATATTTCGATACATATCACAAATAAATCCAAGATCCACGCGCATAAACCTATCATATTTGTGCCCGAAAGCAAAACCCCACCAATAAATGCAATATCATCTGATATTATGATATGAAATATCTGATAATACCAATTCGTTTTGGTCATATTCCCCCTCATCAGACTCTCCAAGCACATAATACCTGGATGGATTCCAAAAATGCTTAATAAAAAGAATATAACTGGAAATGTTTTGTACGCAGGAGGGTGCACTTCTAAGATGGGAGTTAACACATTTCAACCGATTAAAGAATAACAGCGGGAGTGGCATCGGTTCGCTAAAAGGAGCCAGTTAGCGAGCGTCAGGTCGTGAAATGCGATTCGACATTTTCTTACCGTGATTTCGATGGGAGGATTCCAACATAATTAGACCCCCCTCCGCATTCTTTCCCAGAAGGATGGTACTCACATGTCCATTCTACTTAATCACTTTATGGCTACCCACAAAATAAGTGTCAGAGGGATTTCATATTCGAGAATTTTATTCGGGAAATACTTTATATTTTACAGCTATTACTTCTTCCATATAATCAATTCAGACTTTCGCTGATTCATTGTAGAGCCAGCGGAATGCAAATACACGACTGATGGACGCGATTACTTAGGGTTGAAGAACGTGACAAAGTCGGGGAAGAAGTGCCAGCACTGGCTGAGCCAAACGCCAAACGAGCATTCGACCATCTTGCACCTGCCTACATTCCCCGATCCTGGCATGGACAGTCATCACAACTACTGCCGTAATCCTGACTGGTTGAAGACGGGTCCCTGGTGCTACAACGGAGAGGGCACCGATCCTGAATGGGAATATTGCGACGTTAATGTTTGCTAGGCAGTACGAAATGGAAATGTCATATTTTACCTGTGAATGTGGGAATGCTCAATATTTGTGCAGAAGCATCGTGTGTATTGGACGTTATTCTAACTCGTTTGGACAATTGAGTAGAAATTGGCAAGGTTGTCCGTGTATCTCTGTTTCTTAACCCTTTCAGGCCCAGTGTCCATTTCAACCCACATTGCTTTATCATTGTGTATATGGAAATTTCTTGGGATTCATGTGACTTTGTGCCCAATACCACTCTAAGGTGAGTGTTTTTATGCATGGCTCAAACCCATCAAAGGCATTCTGTCAGTTTAATACACTTAAATTATGCACTAAATGTATAATGTGATAAGTCGTATGATATGGTAAATTTATACAAAATGTAAAAATATATTTGTAGAACAGAAGAAGTTA